GTGAGAACATGTGATACTCAGATCTTTCTTTCTGTAAGAAGTTACTCAGTATTATAGACTCTAGTTCCATCCAAGTTAATTCTCCACCACTGATGAAGATGAGCTTGGCTGAGTAGGAAATTCTTGGTTGAAATTGTTTATCTTTGAGGACTTTGAATATTGGGATCTAGTCCCTTCTTGTTTGTAGTGTTTCTGCCTATAGGTCTGCTGCTATTCTGATTGGTTTTCCCTGGTAGTTAGTCTGACATTTCTTTCTTACTGTCTTTAGGATCCTTTTCCTTTGTGTCTATTTTATGTAGGCAAATTACTATGTGTCTAGGGGTTGGTCTTCTCATTTGATGTCTTGTGGGGATTCTCTGTATCTCTTGTGTTTGGCTGGTCACATCTCTGGTGAGATGGTAAAAGTTTTCTTTGATTACCTCCTGGAATACTTGCTCCAAGGTATTCTCCATTTTCCTTTCTCCTTCTGGAATACCAATCAGGCATAAGTTCGGCCTCTTGATTTATTACACATCTCTTGTAGGTTTTATTTTTTCTTTCTGAATTTTCTTTCTATGTTTTTTACAGATCAGGTTAATTCCACATTCTGGTCTTCAAGTTCTGAGATGCTTTCTTCAGCTAGATTAATTCTGCTTTCCATGCTTGTCATCTTGTTATTTATTTCCTGAATAAAATTTTTTATTGCCAAAAGCTCTGTTACAAGTTCTTTCAATGTTGCATCTTGTCTTTCTTGAGTCTTATTCATTCTTTCCATCCATTCTCTAATCCCTGTCGTATTCTGGCACCAGTCACTAGTGACTTCCATTGTGTGGGCTCTGAAGTCTGATTTTTCAGGAATTTTGCTTTTGGTACACTTGAAATTGCCTGTGGTCTTCCTTTGGTTTTACCTCATTTGTGACAGATCTCTTGCTTTTCTCTTTGGTTCCATTATTCAGTGTTAGTGGGAGAGACTTTCCCTTCTGATGTTTGCTCACCCCTCTATTCTTCCCTGATCTGGGATGTGGATTTCTTCTATTTTGAAAAGGGACACTGATCTCTTTGGAGTTCTCTCTCGTCCTTTTCTGATCACACCCTTTGTCCCATGGCTGGATCAGGGTAAGGCCTGGGGTGCCTGAAATTCGTCAGGTTCCTCCAAAGTTTGTGCTTTCAGGAGATTTCCTCTGGGTCACAATCAACCCCTGAGTAGCTGATCTGCCAATCACAGCAATTGGATCTGTTACTCCATGGTGAGCAAGTCGGAGCACTTTCCTGCCCCATTGTCTCTGTCTTTTTATGCCTCTTTTCTGTGTTTTTTGACAGTTTGGGGTAGTTCCATATTTTGGTCCTCAAGCTCTAAGATTCTTTCTTCTTTCTTGGCTAATTCCGCTTTCCATGCTTATCAGCTTGTTATTCATTTCATTCACTGTATTCTTAATTGCTGTTAGCTCAGTTATCAACTCCTTTTTTCTTTCTTCTTGTCTCTCCTCGATTCTATTTATTGTCTCTGTTAATGTCTTGATATCTGGGTTTGTGGTTTGAGACCAGTCATTCTGGGGGCTCTTCATTGTTTGCATTCTGAAGTCTGTATTCTCAGTGTCTGACCTCCCAGGGGTCTGTGTGAGACCCATATTCTTCTGTTAGGTTTTCTTCATTTGTGTAGATTTTCCTCCCTCCTTCCCCCCCCTTCTTTAATTCTGTTGTTCAGGGATGAGGGATAGCTTTTACTTCTTTTAGCTCAATCTCCTATTCTTCCTCATGTGGAATCTCTGACCTTGTTCAATTCTGAAGCTGAACTGTGGTGGGAGGCTGTTTTTTGCAGTTTTGAGATTTAATTGAGGGGAAGCTGTGATTCAGAATTTATCTTCAGATCCCAGTATCCACTGACAGGTGTGTGGACCCCCTGGAACCCATTTCCCACTGCCTTACAATCTGTCCATGCAGTGGGGGTATAGATTTGCTCCTCAGCTTGCTGCCTGTCAAGTCTCCCACTCAGATCTGAGGTGTCTGTGTCTGATCCAGCATGGGGGAGGGACTTCTGTCTCCGAGTTTGATGAGATTACCTTAGGTCCCAAGTTGGAGGCTGAGTGGAGCTGGGTGGGGCAATGTAGGCCTCTGCTGGGTCCTGGGACAGAGAAAATGACTGCAGTCAGCATTTCCTCACCGGGGGTGGGGCTCCTCTCCAGCTCTCCCTAATCTTCTGTCTCCATGGATCAGACTGGGGACTCCAGCCACTTTGCTGTCACAGGTGATGGTGTGGGTGAGGCACTAGGCAATGAGAATCAGCTGTGTCAGGCAGGCTCTTCTCAGGAGAGTCCTGAGAATGACAAATGATCCTGAACACCAGTGGCTCCAATCTCAGGATGGTGGGGAGCTGCAGTCACCTCCAGAGGAGAGCCCCAGGTGCATGAACCCGAGTCTCCCTTCAGACAGATTTTCACTCACGCCCCAGCACTCACCTACTCATGCAGAGTGTCTTTATGGACACTGGCTTTTGCAGAGACTTTCACAGTCAGACCTGTCCCATCACCATCTTGTCAGAAGTCCCTCCTGCCCCATTTTCAAGATGTTAGCAGGTTGCCTCTTTCATCTTCTCCAGTGGGCCTCTGCCTCTGGGCTCCCTCCTTAGCCCTTGCTGCCAGTGTCTGGCCAGGTGCTGAAGTGGTGAGGCAGCAGTCTCTCCTGCTGCAGTGGTGAGGCAGAGCCTGGAGCCAGTAGTCTCTTCCTGCTGCTTCTTCGCAGGAAAACTTTTGTCCATTCTTTTAAAAAAGTGGTGCTTGGCTTTTGCGACCTGGGAAGCACTAGAGACCAAGCAGAGCAGCTGCAGCTGCTTCACCAGGAGGGTCCTGGCCACTTGCTCATGAGCCCCCACTTAGTCTGTCTTTTTCTGTTTTTGTTTTTTCCTTTAACTTCATTTGAGTTCCTTGTAGATCCTGGATGTTAGGACTTTGTTGGATGCATAATTTGTAAATTTGTTTCCATTCTGTGGATCATCTCTTTACTCTCCTGTTGGTTTACTTTATGCAAAAGCTTTTCAGTTTGATGTGGTTCCACCTGTCTATCTTGGCTTTTGTAGTAATTGTTTTGGAGAATTGTTCATGAATTCATTGTCAACTCTGATGTCTGGAAGAGTATTTTCTCCATTTTCTTCTAGGATTCTTATAGTTTGAGGTTTTACCTTTAGGTCCTTTATCCATTTTGATTTGATTTTTGTATATGGTGATACGTAGGGGTCCAGTTACATTCTTCGACATGTGGTCAGCCAGTTTTCCCACACCGTTTGCTAAATATGGTCACTTTTCTCCATTGATTGTTATTGGTAGCTTTGTTAAAGATGAGTTGGTCCAGTGACTATGTTTTTACTTCTGGAATATCTGTTCTGTTCCATTGGTCCATATGCCTATTTCTCTACCAATTCCAGGCTGTCCTGACAACCTAGAGAATCTTTATAGGGCTGAGGATGAAGCAGCTTTATGTTTCCTTAGAGGAAACATAATTTCCCTGACTATTACTTATGCCATGGTGCTCAAGAGACTATTTTAAAATTCAAAACCCAATAATTGATTTATTTTTTGCTCTCTGTTGTATCATACCTGCCTTATAGATGAGTGTGCATATCTAATTATATCCTCAGTAAATTTTACTGCAAATAAAATTATTCATTATAAAGAAATTATTTAATGTATAGTAATAGTACCCTCCAGAAAAATTGTACCAAATTGTAATTTGTTAAATTATTAGCAATCTATGAGAGTCCCAAGTCCCTAAATCCCTGTTTGTATACCATATTTAAAAATACATATTTACCACTTTTAAGCAAAAATGAAAGATTTTGTGTTCATCTATATTTCTTTGATAACTAGGGAGCTTGAACTTATTTTCAGAGGTTTACTGTCCATTTTTGATTTTTATTATTTGTTCATGCATGCTCCTTGTTCATTGTGCTTAGGTCTTTATTGACTTGTAAGAGTCAATATGAAGAATATGAACAAACTGACTTTCATATGCTGAAATTATTTTTTCTGGTTTGTTGTTTGCCCTTTTTTATAGTATTTGAGACCTAGAAATTTACCATTGGAAAATCTGATTTTGTGATTCTTCGTTTATTGGTATTTTTACTTAAGAATTCCTTGCTATTGTAAGATAATGCACATTCATCTTTGTTTTATTTTAGTTGTTTTATGTTTTTATTTTACATTTAAATTTTAATTAATCCATTATATTTAGCACAGAGTATGAGACTGGGGTCTCTATTATTCTGTATTATCTAGTGATTATTTTTTCAGACACATTACTTAATAATCCTTTTCTCTTTGGTATAAATTCCAAAGAGAATTCCATTTATTATATCATGAATCTTTACATATAGCAAGTCCTCTTCTGAACTCTCTGCTGTGTGCTATTACCTCTTTCTATATCAATAAGACACCACTTTAAACCTTATAGATCCTTTGTTCCTATTTTATTTATTTATCTATTTTTCTATATTTTTCATAAAGATGTGGGGTATAAGTCAGGATTAGGTACATAGGTAGTCTGCATGCAGTGAAGTTTGGACTTTCAACTGGTCCTCACTTCCCTTGGTTTAGGATCAGGTACCCTTAGTGATGTTATGTGCCCACTCACTTATAGAACTTAATACATTTTAATATCTGTCAGAGAAAGTTCTCCTTTATTACTATCTTTAATTGTTTCAAAATTTTCTTGACTAGTGCCTTTACTCATCCAGGTGAAATTTGGAGATTCCATTCCAAATGTCGGCATTATAATTTGAGTCTTCATTGTTTTTCATGCTCCTAACTTAAACCCCCACCCAATCTATTCTATATCTGAGTGTAGCCTAATCTACTTATAATTTAGCCACAAACATAATCAATAATCATGATGTTGGTAAGATATCCATTTTTCATGCCTTCTTAAAATTTTAAATGTTGAACTTTTAAGAGGATAATCATTTTGGATTTGTCTCTCAAGAAAAAGAACATTGACACTCTTCCCTTTAAGAAATGTCATTGTCTTTTCAGAGTGTGGAAGGAGAACACCATGAGAAAGCTGTGGAACTACTCAAGGCTGCTAAGGACAGTGTCAAGCTGGTGGTCCGATACACCCCAAAAGTTCTGGAAGAAATGGAAGCTCGCTTTGAAAAACTACGAACAGCCCGGCGTCGGCAGCAGCAACAATTGCTAATTCAGCAGCAGCAACAGCAGCAGCAGCAACAAGCACAGCAAAACCACATGTCATAGGTGAGAAATACCTTATTCTATACAAGAAGTTGTATATATACATAACTATATATACATGGACATATATATTTACACACATCTATAGACTTTTTAAAATATATTTTCTTGGCTGAAACAAAATCACTAAATGTAATAATCCAAACAAAATCAGTCAAACAAAAGACAATGAGATCAAAATATGTAAACAAGATAGCTTCTATATGTGCCATTCAGCTTTGTTCTCCACAATGTAAAATATACTGAAAAATCATATACTTTAGGAGGGGAAGATACAGGCTCCAGAAAGCTTTTAAACAATTGGGAAAATGCAGCTTCTATAGAAACCCAGACCCTGAGTGAAAGGGCATGAAGTAGATTCCAGTCCACTACACAACCTTATAATACTAACCTTGGGAAGATCTTTATTTAGAATACTAAAGTACAATTTCTGGAAAAACTGATCTACTGCAAAGAATGAAGTAAAGACCTTCCAGTGTCCATGCTCTGAGAGATTCTGAAGTTCTTTTTGGGTGCTCATTTAAAATGACCAACATTGAAAAAATGCTTAACATCTCTAAACTCCAGAGTAATGCTAATTAAAACCACAGTGCAATATTGCCTCACATCTGTTAGAATGACTGTTATTAAAAAGAAGAATGATGACTAATGCTGGCCAGAATGTGGAGAAAAGGAAACCCTTGCACACTGTTGGTGAGAATGTAAATTAGTACAGCCATTATGGAAAACGGTATGGAGAGTCCTAAAAATATATATATGGTAAAAGAAGAATTAACATATGATCTGGCAATTCTGCTTCAGGGTAACCTTCAATAGAATTGAAATCAGTATGTCAAAGAGATGTCTGCACTCCCAAGTTGACTGCAGCATTATTTAAAATAGTCAAGATTTTGAAGCAATCTAAGGGCCCATCAATGAAAGAATGAATTTTAAAATGGATTCAGCCTTTAAAAAGCAGGAAATTCCATCATTTATGACAACATGGATAAACCAGGAGGACATTATATGAAGCAAAATAAGCCAAGCACAGACAAATACTGCATGATCTCACTTATATATGGAACTCATATGAATGGAATGTGGTTACCAGAGGTGGCGCAATGGGACAAGAGTGAACAACAACAACAAAACAGATGTTGGTCAAGCCGGGCTCAGTGGCTCAGCCTGTAATCCCGTGCCTTTGGGAGGCTGAGGTGAGTGGATTGCCTGAGCCCGCAGGTTCGAGACCCGCCTGGGCAACTTGGTGAGACCTCATCTCTACAATAAAATCAAAATGAGCTGGGCATGGTAGCACACGCCTGTAGTTCCAGCTACTTGGAAGGCTGAGGCGGAAGGATCGCCGGAGCCCAGCAGGTCGAGGCTGCGGTGGCCGGGAGCGGCCACTGCACTCCAGTCTGGGTGACAGAGTGAGACTCCAACTCAAAAAAAAAAAAAAAAAGATGTTGGTCAAAGGGTGCAGAGTCAGTTGGGAGAAATAGGTTCTGATGACCTATTATATTGCTTAGTAACTACTTAATAATAATGTATTTCAAAATAACTAAAAGAGAAGATTGAAGTGTTCTCATAACAGAGAAGCAGCAAGTGTTTGAGGTGATAAATATGTTACTTAGCCTGATTTGACTATTTCACAATGTGCATGTGGACTGGAATATCACACTGTACCCCATAAATATATACAATTATTATTTGCCAGTTTAAAATAAAACAAAATTTCAAAAAAACCTAAAAAATTGTTTAAAGTAAAAATAAAATGTGTCTAAGATTCCTCTGCCTTTTTCTAAATCCACTTTGGAACAAAGACTGCTAAATCGGGTTTTACTATGAATTTCAAGAAAATTGCAGAAAAACGTGTTAATGGTAAGAGTCACCATCTTTGAAGTGTCTGTTATGTTTCAGGCTCTTAATCATACTTCATCTCTAATCCTCACAAAAACCTTACATGGCAAATATAATTAAAACCTCATTTTTAGATGAAAATATGAAGCTGAAGCAGCTTCAGTGGCTTCCCCAAGACCACACTTGCAAGCATCACAGAATTACTTTCCATCTTACTCTACAAAGTATTTCATCTGCCAACATTAGATATTCTGTAGTTATGTGAATATTCCTTGCTGTTTTTGGGAAAAGACAGTTCATATCTCAGATAACTTTTCACTGTGGTGTCTGCAAATGCATATTTGAAATGAGCTTCAAATTTCTGGGAAAAATGATCACAAGTCATTCAATATCAGATACTATTTGCACAATCAGAAACATTGGTTATAACATGAGCCTTTCCATTTTCTGTGACACTCGTGAAAAGGAGAGGCCACATAGTGGAGTGAAAAACGTCTGAAATCTGTCTCCAGACAATCCTGGGAATTCAATTTATTTATCTTTTATATTTGTATCATATAATATCATATTTTAGCATCTTTAGCTCAAATTACATTGCATTACAAAAAGTACATTTGTTGAACATAAGTATTTATTTGGCACTGCTATAGGCCATGCACTGTTCAATGAGGTGAAAAAACAGCAAAACAAAGTCCCTTTGCCCATGATGCCTATATCCTGGTTGTAGGAGATAGTTAATAAATAAATAAGTAAATAAAAATATCCCCTTGGGAACCATACGTTGCAGAGTTAAAATAGAGTGTTTAGAGACTGACTAGATGATGACTTACTAAGTGGTCAGGGAAGGCTTCTCAAAGAAGGTAACATTTAAGGTAAGAACGAATGATAAGAAGCAATCAGAAAAAGTGAATAAAAAGAGAAATAGCCAGTGCAATAGCTCTATGACAGGCATGAGATATTTGATGTTTGAGGAAAAGAAAGAAAACCTGGATAGTTAGAGACCGGTGAGTGAGAAGAACAGCGGTGGATTACGAGGTTGATGAGACAGATGGGAGCCAGGGCAGAGAGAGCTTTGTAAGCCACTGAGGGAAGTTAGATTTTATTGCAGTGGAGGCCACTACAGGTTATTAAGTACAGGAGTGACATGATCTGATTTATGTATTAAAAAGACTGCTCTGGCTGCAGTGAAAATGGATTATTTCAGAGTAAGAGAGGAACCAGAGACCTATTAGGAGGCTAATATAGTAGTCCAGGCAAGAGACATGGTGGACCAAGATAATGTAGTTGAGATGGAGGTCTATAGACAGTTATGTACAAGTCATTTTGTTGCATACTTCTCACTGTTATCCTTTCCAAATGTAAAGATACTTCACATTTTTACTTTCAGAATCCTTTTAAAAATTTTGGTTTCTTTTTTTGTAATAATAACAACCCATTATTCTTTAGTCTAACATTGACACACCTTCTGCTAACTCAGTTTCTTCCATCCCTAATAATATAGACTTATACAAATTTTCCTAATTTATTTACCACATTGGTCTATAGTAAAATTGCTCAGAAGTGTTTTGAAAGAACTGTATTACCATTCAACTTCTGAGGTTTTATTAGAAACTGTCCAATATTACGCTTAACTCATCCAATCACCTTTGGAAGTATACAACTTGGTCTTATGTATTTCTGGGCCACATACTCAGTTCCATTTCTCTGATCCATCAATCTTTATTAAATCTCCTCAGAATTTCTTGCTGTTTCACCATCAAAGACTGGCTTTTTTTATTGTAAAGATGTAGGGTACAATTCAGGGTTAGGTATACAAACATTGATTATGCAGATACCCTTGTTGATGAGGTATGCCCCGCCCTCCCCTAGCAGTTTCCCTCAACTGCCTA